TGTGCTCCACATCGACACTAGTGACAGGGGCATGCAATAAATGAGGAAAGACATCGGCTGGGAATTTCACTCTGGGAAAGTTTCACTCATTCCCACTGAGAACAGAGTTAATAGACTGAATTGTATTGCGATCCGGATTCTTCTGCATCGAGGAGTCAGACTTTCCCAAAGTGCTTTTCCCAATAGATCCAGATATAGCCCAGGCAAAAAATTTCTATATGGTCGTATATATTGGGTTGGAAAGAAAGTCTTGCAACACTCTGCGTAAATTTTTCAAAATTGTATAACTTTATTGAAATGCAATTTCAGTCTACAATGTAATGACCATTGTTNGAGCATTCCCAGGAGCATCCTCCAGTGATCTCGATCCTGGGTAACAGACTCAAGCTCAGCTGGTGGGATGCCGAGCCTCTCGTGACAAAGCCGAGCGACGTAATCACTCCACCTTGTACGAGGTCTACCGACAGGTCTTTTGCCGGTCATCTTGGCCTGGAAGACTCTTCTTGGGAGCCTTTCAGGGAGGAATGTCATCTATAATTTTTTTAAATAAAATATGAAGAGCCTTTTAGAAGGCTTTTATTCGATTAATTTATGATGAACTTGTGAAAGCATCGGCCCATAGTGGCGGAGGGATATGGCACAGGTCGTAGTTGCGAACTGCTGGAAATCCTCATTGGGGTCATGCATCGGAGAGTCGTTCCATCACGAGTGGTGCAATTTTAAAGAGCTGCACCGACTGGGATGAGGCTGTAAAATAAAAATGAACTTTGGAATAGGCCTACGAGAAACTGTACGAACCAAAACGTCTCTATCTGGCCTCCCATCTGGGAGGTCAGGGCCTCGATCCCTCTCCTGGCTCTTAGGCGAATGGATAAGGGACATCACATAGTGCACGCAATATAGAAGTACTGTATACGATAGCAGGGAGGTCGGCCTCGCCGGTTGCATCGCGCACGAAGGGGTGACTGCTAACAAGTACAACGTCTTGCCTAGGTTCCTTTGCTTCTTATGTCTTTCGGTTCCTTTGCCGAAATCAGAAAGCCTCTTGGTCATCCTAATCCGCATTGCCAATATGTATCTATGGAATTTCCACGAATGAAAAAGACACAAGATAAAGTCTTCGTGATCATTATAGATGAGCTAGATGCGTTTTTTTTTTTTTTACTAAGTCCCGAAACTCGCAAGGGGTGTAAGTCGTGGGACCGAGAATTTTCTTCTCGGACCGGATGCACCTGTACTCTTCAAATGTTTCAAGAATCTTCAATTTCCGCTCTACTTTTACATGTTTTCTATTATGTAATAACTGGCAGCACGGACCGTTCAGCCTTTTATTGCAACTACCTACCACTTGAAGCAGTTCAGGCGACAAGACCGACCTAAACATCCTTTTCGTGCTTCATGCTCCCATTGTTACAACAATGATCTCTTGTTCATTGTGATGGCGTGCTGGCCACACCATATTTTCGTCCACTCGCCGCCACTTCTGGCACGGTTTCTATCCCCTATCTCTTTCCATATCGATCTGTAAAGAGTCCTATCCAGATGCAACGAGTGGTTTATTGAATTCTATAGAACTGCATTGAAAACTCTATTAGAAGTCTATGGATCTCTCTACAACATTTTTGCCTGGAAGATTTCAGCTGTTTCTCCACAGACTTTATCGACTCCAGAGATTCCATGAGTGCTGAGCCACATTCTGTCGGCGACTACGAACGCGCTGGGCACATGCAGGACAAACTTTGTTGCCACGCAGCTAAGAGTGATTTGAGGAACGCGGTCTGTCCGTTACTCTCTTCCTTTATACTGTCCAATTTTGAGCGTGTCATGGGGAAAATAGTTATATTTACGGGAAATATGCTCCAAAACAGTGATATTTGTCATTTCATGCTGTCACTACCAACATATGCGAAACATGCTGAATAGAACAAACCCCGTTCGACTCTCCTCATTGATATAGATGGCCACATTAATGGAGCATGAAAATGGTCAAAATAAAAAAACATGCTAAAGCATAAAAATCCGCCCCCTATATATTATGCTCCCTTTGTTCTTGCGTGCTCGAAGTCCATTTTTTAAGTTGTCCGTCGCCTCTTCTGATTTTTCAGCTTTTCACCATTTTGATGTCCAGATTTTGTCGTACTTCTACTCGATTCTACTCTTCTACTCGACGACTGGATGAGAATTCTTTTGCTTTGCTAAAACGACCTGAGCACTTTTTGTGCTTCCATGCTCTCTGGATGTCCTTGCAGCTGCAGATATTCATTGGTTGAAATAGTGATTAATCGCGCTTCTTGGCCTGCTGTTAAGAAATTTAAAGATCTGGAGACTTCACAAATATACTAACTGTTTTTAGAGCAAAAAATCCTCCAAATAAGAGAATTGACTAACTTACTGATAGTAATTCTTAAATTCTTAAAAATGTTAATTAATGGTATTTTTGCTATAAAAAAATCGTTAACGGTGTAAGTTGTCGCCCTACATTTCCAATCGTACAAATTTCTTCTAATTCGCGGAGTCTGAAGGGGGCAAAAAAATTGAGCCTCATGTACGATGCTTCCCGATTTCCCACAGGTGAGCGTAATTAGTCGAGGAAGGGGATTAGGAGAAGAATGAGATGATCCGAGATGATCAGGCCACGACGAAACAGGGGTGGAAATTGAAAGGAACACCCGAGGGGATTCTCTCTCTACACGGGGGGAATTCTTCTGGGGGATTCTCAGATCGAGTAGAGGGGAATCGGGGGGAATTGGGGGGAATGGCCTTAAAGAGACGGGAAGGGAACGTGCGACTCTTTGGCGAGAAACGGCAGTTCACCTTAGGAAGTGAATTTCTAGGCGATCGGCTGGTGATGTGAAAAATCATCTCATACATGGTGATTTTTGATAGGTAAATGTTGAGAGGAATCGATGGATGTGCCAAACGTTGACGGTGGCAGTCGTCGCACCGGAATCGTGACTGTGACTTCCGCAGGTTCGCGGGCAAGTGACAGCGCGACGGATTCAATTTGTGGAGAAACCCGGGCATGGAGCGCGTCGAGCGAGCACAGTGAGGAGACTGCGGATTGTTCGCGATCTGCCGTGGAACCGAATGAGCCGAGTGGAGTGGGTCGTTCGGTCTTTCGTATCTTTTCGGCGCGGAATCGGAGTCGCCTGGTACGAGGGATATCGGGTTCGTCCTTGGATTCGCAAATCGGATCGAATCGGGCTCAGACGGCAAAAAATGTCGAGGTTCCACTCGTTTGATGTGGCTTTTTCATGGGACGAGGTCTCTTTCTTCCGAGCTCGCCCGGAGACGAATTCCACCGAGTAAACGCAGAACCGAATTAGTTGTTCTCGAGTGCGACTGCAGGTCGACGGTACGAAGTCACTTCACCCGAGCCTGGAATGCTCCAGCATGTACGAATTCCATGGATCGAATGATTTTTCGGAGGAAAAGCGAGGTAGAACCGTCGTAAGGAAAAAACCCAACAGATTCCTTCAGAATTTCCTCCTTGCGAATCCCGCATTTTTGTTTTTGCTTTTCCCCGTCCTCCACCATCTTCTCCCAGTCCTCCATCCGCGTGACCTGATTCTTCCATGGGTCATCGCATGCACTTCGACATTTTTCAAAGTCCAAACAAAGAACTCGTCTGCGTTCTTCAGATTCGAAGGGGTAAGGCACTAAAATTCTCTTGAGGGCGGGGAGAAGAGGAAGGAGGGAGGAGGTGGAAGGAGGGAGGAGGCGGAAGGAGGAAGGTGGATCCTTCCTCCGCCCTACAATAAACATCGGGATGGTGTTTTTTTTTCACTCCTGACCGAGCTGGTCCGGGTTCGTTCGATCCGAAATGAGAGGAGATAGATGATCCAAATTCAATAAGCGACTCGTTATCGTGCGAGATTCCAAGTTCGTGACGAGAGAGAGACGAAATCAGCAGGTAGATTAAAACGAATGGATCAAAAAGTGGAAGTTGATGCAAATGGAGAGCTTTAAACGTCTGAAAGTCTATAATGAGAAGCGGGCGCGACGCAATTCGGACTAAAAATAACCGGAATCCGACGATCTCGAGTCGTGACGGCTCCACTCCGACCGGGATGAGAAAGGAGACGAAGCGCGGAAGCTGCACGAGTTTTGTGCGTGGGCGGAAGTATCGAAGAAATCGTTTAGCGATTTCCATCAGAACCGTGGGTGCAATCGAAAATTGCCAGGAGCTATGGAAATATTGGCTGATATTTTCTATTCCTCACATTTTTCTATTGAGGTCCAGGCTCGTGCGAGAGGGTACATCTACCACCTTCATGCAATTATGCTTCCGACTTTTCGAAATGAAAAGGGGAAGGACGGTGTGGAAGGTCGGTGTGGAAGGATCGTGGAATTCCCTTTCCATCCCGTTCGGGTTGTTGGAATCGTGCGTTCGGAATGGAATTTTCGAGAAAATGTGATGGGGAGACGTGATCGTCAGTCGCACTTTTCTCATTTTTTCCAAATGAATTTGTTTGCTTTTTTTTTTTAAACAAAACTTTTCAATTCTTCCTGGAGTCGAGGCTTCGAAGACCCAAACGATTTATTCACTTGCGATTAAAAAAAAAAGTCGCATAATAAAATATGCGATGACTTTTCGGATCGGGGTGGTCGAGGAAAGACCGCTCGGAAACTTCTGCTTAATTTTGCGGGTCGACGAACTTGCCGGATTCCGTGCGGAAATCCAAGAGAGGAAATCCTTCTTTTCCGTGATGAAAGAGGGAGAGACTGAGAGACAGTGGGATCCGACTCTGTCCCACCCACCCTCGCTCGGCTGGTCTCCACCGTTGCCTTTCTGGTTTTAGATTCTAGATTGCATCTCGCAGTAGGTCGGGGGGGAGAATTTTTTCTGCGGTGACAATGCCCACAAGTACGATAAGCGACCCTCGCCGTTATCGCACCGGTCGACACTCTTCAACGTTCTGTTAATCGTTCCACCCGACGGCTCCCGATAACAAATGGAAAGCGTCATCTTCCGTCCTTTCGTCGCTTGTCAGAATCGGATGCACTGCAGGTGCAAAGAGGAATCGGGGCTGGACTCGGATCACCCGTCATCTGTCGTGGATCGACGTGACCGTGAGCTTGCGATGCCACGAGACAGATGTCCCCACAGGCGCAAGCACTTTACAACCGACGGAGTCGTTCCCGGGTCTTCAGGCTTTGAAGGTCAGCGTCGTTCCAAGCCGATCGTCGGGCTTCCCCCTGTCTCAGGGGCAGATTTAGCTGGTAATTAGCGCATAATGAGAACTCTTTCCGTTTCGGATATACATATTTAAATCGATTTCGGAGGTGGGCGTTATTTTAAGCTTCCTCCCTCAAAGGGAGAATCCTTAATGGGTCTCTGAAACTTTGCATGGAATCATCGCTATTCGGCTTCGATCCAATCGAGGCTGGAGGTCGAATTTTTCTTTCAACGAGGTTTCATCTGTGTATTCCGAAAAGACGGAAGTCGGACGGACCGAGATCGGCAGAATGAAGACTGCAATGATTTCTCGGGAGATCATTGTGGTCTTCATTCGGCCTCAATAATTTTCTGCTTCTTTCGCCAGATTGAAAGAAAGTTAAACGAATCGATTGAGAATCGATCGAGGAGCTAAAAATTAATCGGATGCAAATTTTATCGGAATGCCACACGTACCATCGACGGAATCCACTGGAGGCATGGACTCTTCTTTTTCCTCCTCGGCAGTAAATAAACCGGTTCTTATTATCGTTGGGGATAGTCTTAAAATACGAAAAACGTCTACGACTATGATGGAAATAATGATGAAACCATATTGGGGAACCATGGGGGAATCCTCAATCTCACGTCGCTAAGGTTACAAGTCCAGGGGGTGAGAAGAATGGGAGAGATGAGGGGACAGGGGGAAGAGAGAAACGGGGGATGGGCTTGAAACATGCGCACTGAATGGGGGAATCTCATTCTGAGGTTTTGCATGATGGTTTTGTACAGGCATGAGTCCGCATCAGGTTTTCTATTCCTCATGGATGGCAGGTCGTCTATAAATATGCTCCTGGCGCCAGTCATTTCCCAACATTCACGCATAAAAAAGAAAACGACTGCACACGTCCGGTCAGGCCACATGCAGCTAGTGGTAGGAGCCAAACGTTTCCACCCGTTTTATGGGTTTGTGTCCAACCCTTTCAGTTCGGTCGCTTCATGAATCATGAATGGAGAGATGTTTTTGTTTATACTTTTGGTGGGACATAGTTCGCCTTGGATGGAGCAACTTTCACTGAATGCGAACATAACTCCAAATTATTTTTTTAATACTCAATTCCGACACACGTCCATTACGCTTCCCATAAATGAGTACCAGTCAAGTAAAACGCTCAAGTAAAACGCTCATTGGCCGGAATTCCCTGTCACGCTTTAAATTAAACTGGAACAGAAAATGCAATTTTTTTTTCTTTAATTACGTCACAGTGCAATCCTTTTAGTCGAATGGAGCGAATGCACTTGAATCTCGACTGGACTGCGAGCCCAGACAAGAGACAATACTGACGGTTAAGGAGACATGCGGAACCCATGTGGCCCTGGGGCTCATGGAGTCGGAGCTCCGGCCCGGGGGTGATGCTACATTCGGATCCCGCCTACGTATGCAAGCAATCGGCTTTCACACATGCCCCCCTCAGAGACAGCGAGAGACCATAGAGCGTATGGGAGAGATGCTTCACCCGATGCTAGAGGTATAGGCGGGCATTTTAATCCGTGGCGGAGCCGACCTTCGCCATCCGGTAATCGAAATTCCAAAGGCGGAGAAAAGATACACCGCATACAACTCTACCGCAGCCGACTCGCTTCTCCCCTTCCCCTTGGATTGGAGCGGGGGACTGGCATGTCTGCCTCGCAGTCCCAGCCCTGACAACATGGCGTCTCCCGAGTATATCGACGGCGTGGATATCAAACAAGAAATTCAGGAAGTGGAAATCGAAGCCATTCCTGTGGATGTGCCAGTGGAAACTGTGGACTCAGCCATCGAATATATAGATGGCCAACCTATCATCGCGTTACAGGACATCGATGCCGTGGGAGATGAAGTGGTTCAGGAAGAAGTGGTTGTGGGAGATGACTCGGACCCCCTCGGCTACGATGAAATCCCAGTGCCAGTTGAAGGAGAGATCGAAATCCCGCACCCTTCGAGCATCTTTCCGATTACAGCTCCCTCAACTTCGGTTCGAAAAAGCGCTTCGAGGAAATCGACGAGCCGGCGGTCGAGAGCGAAAGTCGTTGACGACGACGCCAGCGGTAGGAAATGGGCTCAAAAGCAAGTTCAAATCAAGACCTTGGAAGGGGAATTCTCGGTGACAATGTGGTCGTCAGGTGCCGAAGCGGAAGCCGATTTGGAAGGTAAGTAACAGGAGTATTTTTTATGTGATTGCATTGAGGAGAGTTCGAACGCGAGACATTTTTGTAACTGGCCCTGACGGTTCCCCCCCCCCTGCACTAGCCACCGTTTCGCGATCAGCTGCGATCGCACCTTGTTGGCCTTAGCGTTATATGCATTTCAGGATGTATGTGTTGTGGGAAATCGAGGGATTTGTAGGAGCACCAGAACAAACGTCAGAATAGTTTCAGCCATGTTAATAATATGGCCTCCGTAGCGGGAAAATGGCTCCTTTTTCAGCATGGCGGTTGAGAGGGAATGTGGAAGGAAGATCTCGGCTCAGCTCTCTCGGTCGTTCGCTTGCCTCTCACAGGGGCCGTTCCAAGAAGTGGACGAGAGATGTCAAGCGCTTGCTCTGTTCGTGCGCGTGCGCGTCAACTGCCTGTCGTCTGCTAAACGGCTGTTATCATGGCGACTTCCATCGTTTATAATAGAGCCATTCTCCAATCACGTGTTTCTGTTTGTCCCGGCTTCTCCCGACCTGAAAATCCAAAGATCTCAGTCATGACAGCTTAGCAATAGGATGACCACCTGCCTTTTTATTTTGCTGGGCAATCACGTAGAAATTCAACGGAACTGCCATTCAAGGACAGGTGGTTTTTATTTACCGCTAGTGCAGGCCTGGAATTCACAGAAGACAAATTTAAAATTGAAATTACCCACCTTGAACGCTGAGCAAGCAATTTCTATTTTAAATTGGCCTTGATCTAATTTTGCAAGCCCATGATGGTTTTGTGATATGGATTAGCATGATGCTAGGCAAAACTTTTGGCTAACATCACCACAATAGTTTGTAACCTCACATAATGTATTTCTATATATGACAGTTGACCTTCATTTTAGTCGTTCCCTAAAACAATTTCAGTGCCCCTACATGATATTTGCCATCTATTTCTGTGCAGGTGCATGCATATAATGACTTATTTATTTATATGGATGGCAGCATCTGAAGGAGTACCCTTTTGTTCTTACCATTCCTGTTGTTATCTCATACTTAATAATTGAAGATGAAGGGCATTGTGCTGGTTGTGCACAAAGTCCATTGGGAACCAGCTAAGGTCCAAGTCAGATCACAATGGGTAGTACATGTTAGGAGGGTGGATAGCCCCATTTTCAATGAGCCAAACAATACCCTGCAATACCTTCTCTCCTCCATGGACAGGTCAACAGAGTGATGTGAAATATAGATGGTGGTATATGGCAAATTCCATGTTGGTGATGCTGGCCAATATGTGGTTTGGTTTAATCACTATGCATACATGACTATGGTATGAGGCTCGTAGTAGAGTTATGGTTTACATTTACTGTGCAATGCTATTGCAGATGGACCAAAGCCAGTGCTGGGTAGTGAAGTGGAGGAAGTGGTTACATGCATTGATCCAGACCCTGACTACACTGAGTACATGATTGGGAAGAAAATCCCTCCAGAAGGGATTCCTGGAATTGATCTCAGTGATCCAAAGCAGTTGGCTGAATTTGCTCGGTAAGTGTGGCAATTAATTAGAGATATTTCAACGCATTCCATGGATACCCACAGACATGAAGTGCTTCTGACTACTTCATTTCTTCCTGTGAATTAATTCTCAAGCTCTTAACACTCTGCCTGTTAATACCTGTTTGAATCTCCCCCTTTATGAGAGTGTCAAAAATTAAGTCCCTCCCCCGCCCATGGAAATACATTTGCAGAATTTAAATCTAGGCCATTTGATGACTGACATTTTGCCAGCCTCATAAATTGTGTTTTTTTCTGGATCTCTGCAGGATCAGACCAAGGAGGATCATTCATGATGACATCACTCGAAGCATTGCTTGCCCTCATAAGGTTTGACTTGTTACTCTACAGCTTTAATTGAATGTTCATGAGAATGAAAATATGAATCTCATGTTGATTGCAGGGTTGCAACAAGATGTTTCGAGATAACTCAGCTATGCGGAAACATCTGCACACTCATGGACCCCGTGTACATGTTTGTGCTGAGTGTGGGAAAGCTTTTGTTGAAAGTTCCAAACTGAAGCGTCATCAGTTGGTTCATACCGGAGAGAAACCATTCCAGGTTGGTATATTGTGTACCAGGGGTCCAAAGCTATTGGATTTCATCTTAATTTAACTGTGATGTTCCATGGGCATGGGTTATGTTCATCTTGTACAAATCCATGCATTCTCTCTCTTGCAGTGCACATTTGAAGGCTGTGGGAAGAGATTCTCATTAGACTTCAATCTCCGCACCCATGTACGTATTCACACTGGAGATCGGCCATATGTCTGTCCATTTGATGGCTGTACAAAGAAGTTTGCCCAGTCAACTAACCTCAAGTCTCATATCCTCACACATGCAAAAGCCAAGTGAGTTGAAGTGACCATCTTCCCTCTTCAAGAGAGTGAGATTGAGATTGGATTTGGAAAGATTGAATCCCATTGTAGGAATCGTACACAGTTGGCTCTACACCAGCAGCAGCAACAACTGGCAATCCAACAGTTGGAGCAACTCCAGGGGGCCCAGTTCGTCCAGGTGGAAATGGGCTCTCCCGATGAACAACAATTCATTGTGTACACAGACTGAAAAATGTCACTCATGTCAGGGCCTATTCTTTTCTCAGCTTGTTATCATGCTTTCCCTGTTGGGGGACTGTTCAGTTACTTGCTTTTACTTCAGTGTCTCACCCATCTGTGGAATGCACATGCTAGAGGATCCTTCCATGAAGGAACCTCAATGCTTCGGTTATGCAAGTTGAAATCGTCTGAGTTCTTCCCAGTATTGGAGAAGTTGATCTCAAGATAGGCTGGTAGTTCCCAGCTTCATTGTGGAAGCAAGAGAAGCATCTTATAAACCATACCTCGTTGTTTGATCATTGCCTGAGACATAGTTGAGGGAAATTCTTCCTTCACATGGTTTGTTTGAAGATTGAGTTAGAGAGATCTGGATCTTTTTGATGTAAGTGCCCTGATGTGATTGTATTCTTGTGATATACTCATGCCAGGAGAAAATTGTCTGTGGGAACCTCTCATTGAGTACAGTTGATTCCTTCTCAAATGGCCTTATGTTTTCTCATGTCAACCTGTATCCTTGGTACATGTGTGCAATCTATGGCCATAGGATGACATGAGAGAGTTGGATTTGATCTACACGAAAAAAGGGAAATTTGAAGTGAACTGTTGAGTTACACTAAAGGAGAAAACTAATGAAGAGACAAAACAGCTTAGCAGAGCAGGTATTTGGGTGTTTTTCATGATTTTATGCTGATTTGCACTTCATAATGAAAAAAAAAAAATTTACAAACAGTTCCTATGAATGTCAAGAAGTAGGTCCTCCATTTGGAAATGAAACAGAGTTCCCTGCTAAAACATTTCCAAGCTTAATAAAAACAAAGAACAAGAGCATATACATTACAAAGGGGCTGCATTGGAATGAATAATGAAGTTCCCTAAGGCATCATCCTCAGAGCAAATTGAAAAATTAAAAATCTGGTGAAACAAACATCAGCTGTAACAGTATTGGAATAACACAACCTTCAAGACATGAACAATCATAATACAGATAAAGGAATGTATCAAGAGACTAGACCTGAAATAGTGAAGATACCTAAAAACATACCTAATTAATATAAGGCCAGTCATATAATTGAAGTTCAGCACAATTCTTACAATCAGGCAAACTTGCTTAGCATAAAAATTGCTACATCTCAGCAGCACAGATGTTCCAGTTCATGGTATCACAAGTGGTAGACACAACAAAATACCAATGCACAGACACTGAAATGCTTAATGTCAAAGTGAAGCAATATAGATTCCAGTAACTTGGTGATTGTCCAGATATCCTCTGACTTGATGTGTCCATCTAGCCTATCCAGCATGTAAAAGAGTATATATGTATGTAAGGAGTCTTGCATGTTTCTGACATTCTGCTTGCCTATGGAGGTTCATTCTGCTATCAACTAAAATTCCCTGCAAAAAGGGAGACAAAATATTAACCTTGTAAGGGCCAAATCCTAAAAGTTTTATTCTTGGGTGTGAGGAAGTTATGGCCTGCTAGATTTCCTGGGGATTACATGAAGTTCATATGATCCCAAGGAATGATATGTGCAATATCTTTGACATTCACAAGTGATATGAGGTTAGCAATAGAAGGCAAAGAAATCTCAGCAGGGCCAAGAGCATGATATTTTAAAATATTTTTGAAGATAATATATTTGGTAAGATTTAAGGCAATGCAACTTATGTTGCAGAGCATGCAAATGTAATTGTATGGAGAAACAATAGTTGGCTGCTCCTCTATGAATTTGTAACCTTCCAGAACAAGAGCACATACTGCTGATCTATGTTCAGAGGTAGTGATATCCAGTACTATTAGTAATTAATTTTCTCCTTCTGTCCCATTTCTACTAGTTCCATGTGCTTGAAGATTTTGCTCAACTGAGTCAACAATGCAGCAAGTTGGAATATGGAATCATAATTAGGTGAAATGAAAGAAATCAGCAAACTACCTACAAATAAAAATGCATCTCATTTCCATGATATCCAGTTAATGCATTTAAAGACAAACTACTTAGATTAGGCTCATTCTGCCAGCATTGCATAGAAAGGGCAGGGTGACATGTACATTACATTACAATCCACATAGGGATTGCATCAATTTTGGAGTGTAACACTATTTTCATAATGTCCAAGGTTATGATAATCTGTCAGTTCTCAGCAAGCATAAGAGGACACTTGATTAGTTATGTCCAATTATGGTTATGTTAATTATGATGTTCTGATCACAGAGAGATTATACTTAATTTAAAATGTTAATATGTAATAAATAGTAAAGTCCATTCAAATAAAATAAATGGCAAAAATATTTCATATTCACCTATTACCACAGAATTTGAGTGTTGATTTGCCTAGGTAGACATTAATTTCCTTGAGGAGAATATACAGCCCATGCTTGTGAACAGCAGCCATGAGATGAGAGCTGGGATGGAAATTCTCTCAACAGATACCAGGAGCATTCAAAGAGACTTGCACAGGTTCCAACTCTGAACAAAACAACCTAGGGATCAAAACATCATGACTCTAATTGAACTAGCTAACCAATGAGGGCTAGAAAGAATACCAGTCACCCATTATGTTGGAAAAATCACATTTCCATACAAATGTAGCCTGGGAAACTTACACTCCTGTTTTCCAACAATGAAAAACATTGAAATTGGCTCTTTTTCATCATTTTGTGGCTGGCAAGCATAATTAAAATGAGATCTCATTCTCTCCTACAGACTTATCCCATCTCCATCAGCAACTATTAAAAAAACCACAATCATATCTGGCTTGTGTCAGTATCAATGAAGGGCTGAAAACACAATAATGACAAAAAGTACACAGAAAAAGATAAAGATACAGTTAAATGGTCATACAGGGATAGAGATGGTACTTCATTGCACACCTGAGGAAGCCATTGTGAAATTACACTGTTCTCACTCATCAAACCTGTTGTAGTAGCTACAGGCAACATAGAATGGTCATGTAATGACACTTGCAAATACAGAGTGGCAAAAAAATTCCATTAATTGCTTGCCATTTCTAAGTACATTAATGTAAATAATTCATACTTACATCAGAGGTAGTACAATTCATTCCTGTTCCAAAAAAATTTATTCATGAAAATCAATCAGGTCAGGAAGAAAAACAAGCAGTATGAAATGTTGTGTTCCCAGTCACACTATCAACTCTGAATATGGAAATACAAGACAGAAAACAAGAAAACAATAGTAGTTTACATGAACTGTTTTCAATTATTATTATGAATAGCACCTAACATGAGTGATTCGTGACAAATCTAGCATTAGAATTGCTGCTCATTCTGAAGAGGGTTGGCATGCTTCACCCACAGCCTGAGAACTATTCAATCATCGTTTTCTTCGCCATATAATCTATTTCACTGATGAAGGACCTCAATCAGCACTTAACCATCACAGTCAAGGATGACCCTGCTGACTTTTAAGAGGTGACAACACAAATTAGAGAAGTGTGAAAAGCACTGCAAGTCAGCCTATTGAATTGCTTGACAAAGATCAGGCAAGCAGTGTATTTCCAAGAGAAGGTATATTCCAAAATTATTATTGAGAATTCAAAACCTTGCATAATATTCATGAAAAATTAACTGCTTCTGGGACATGTGATTGATTTAAATTAAGTAAATCTTAATGGAACAAAAGAGATCTACATCTGACATGATATTACATCTGACATGAGCATGAAATATTTCATTTTATTTGGAAATGGCAAGCAATTAAATGGTTTAACTTATTTTGGGTCACTAAAATGAGGCCAATGGTGCAAGCCAAGAATGTTGATATTGTCCAAGTTCAGCTACACCAGTAGTCAGAGTAGGTGAAAGAATACATCTATGGGATTCCAGTGTTGTCACTCTTAAGGAAGGATTGGAGAATGCATCAAGAAGTGATAAAAATCTAAGTTGAACAAGTGGTTGACAAGTAAGAAAGATTAACAAATTCAGGTAGAAAAAATAATTATCTGGGAAAAATATTGTCTGTAGATTCCTGATATCTAATGTCTCTAGGCCCACCATTCATGCAATGAAACCCATGAGGTGTAATCCCTTCTACTCCAGCAGACACATTTCACCTGCAGGATAAATTCATGGAATATATGATGGTGAAAAAAATTTTCTTGACACCCTATATGATGCATAAAAGGTCCCTCCTCAGTGATGATGATTAACTGAGAGTAACAATGGAAGTAAGCAACCCACAATGAGGGTCAAGACTTCCTTCCCTCGTAACCCTTTGTGGTTTCCACCAGCCTCTGATTTTGATTCTGTTGTTGGCAATGTGGAACGGGAGTCCGTGGAATGTCCTTCAAAGTGCGAAACTTCGGGAAGCACGTGGATTGTGGACACATAGAGGAAAGTACCAGCACTGAACAGCATTGCAAAACCTGTCCCATTCAGAGACATGAAGCTCTCTCTCTTCTCCTGGAAAATGATGAATATAAATTTGAGACAAATTATCACCAGGAATTCTACCTGAAATCTGAGGAATACATTTTTTCTCTTCACCTGCCCAACTCCAAAGTATGTGATGATGGCTAGAAGAGGAGCAGCAAGTGAGAAGACAAACAGGTGCTTGCGTATTTTATTCCTCTCCATCCCTGCATGAAGTAGGAATGTCACCAGGCCAAATGCTGCTGGGGCCTGAAGGCAAAAAATAAAGAATCATCAAGATTCTGCATTAGCACTATCATAACTGGATAATACAGATCCCTAATGGGGTCTACCTTATGCAGCATGATGGCAATAAAGACGATGAACTCAGTGTCTTTGTGAGAAGTAGATGCTGCAGCACCCAAAGCTATGCCATCAGCTGTTGGGAAATATTCATAGATAAGTTTTTAATATCATACCAGGGAATAAACAAACTACATAATACTGGATTAACTGATATGCCTTACCTGCAGCATGAACAACCAGTCCCAAGGTTGCTGTGTAGGCTGTGCTTTTGGTCACAGATATAGGTGCATCACTGTCTACATGAAATCATGATACAGAATTGAAACAGAAGATCTAAGTCAAAATATCTGCACCATTGAAGTCACATGCATTATAATAATCCATTCTTACCCTTGCCTCTTGTTCTGCAGTAATTGCTAACCTGATCCACCAGGAGCATGAAGACGAAGCCAAAGACTAAAGCCATTCCAATGATGGCATGAGGTTCAAGACCTTTATGTGATGCAGGCTCATTTTTAGCCCCTTGAAAAGGAAAATATGAATTATGAGAAACTGTTCACCTATCTAAATGCATAATGGAACTGATTTTTGGGTTTATCTCAAATGAAGACATGAACACTTACCAGAAGGAAGGCTACTTGTGTGTGGCACTTCACAAAGGGAATTAACACCTTCTGGAATGATCACACTCAAGGCTGTGCCCACCAATAAACCAGCTCCAAGTACGGACACCAGCTGAAGCTTCTCCTGATACGAAGAAAAGAAGGGAAAAAATTGAAGATCATGAAGGCCTCAGAGTCCAGATGATCAGTGAAAAGGCATATCATTGTCAATGTTAGCCCAAACTACCAAATGCCCTCATGAAAAGTTCAACTGCTATAAAACTTCTGAAAGAGTCAAAATTGTTGGAAAATGTGGAAACTACACCTTCAAAACAAACTCTATCTTAGCAAGTGGCAAATTTGTTGTAACTAATTTAAATGCCACACTTGAAGTATGAAAAAATTTTACTGCATTAGGCAATGAAAATGTAGTTATGGGCTTTGTAATACAGGGTGGCCTGAGACAGAAGGCCAGTTGGAAAAGTAACCCTTTCCCTGGTGCTAGCGTAATATGTTGACATCCTGGAAACATTTGGATATCTGTTAGGGAAAGGGTTGATAGGAGGCAGATACATGGATATACAGAGCTATAACTTCACAGATGTGAACAGGAAACTAATTTATGTGACTTAAGACAGTGTCACAGGGGGTACCAATTAAGTGGTTGTTCTTTATGGCCAAAACCATTTTAAAGGGGGTCTCCATTCTGGACATGACATTAAAACAGCTACCCAGTGCATCTCTAGCAAGTAATAGAGGCACATCAGGTCTTCTCTATCTTATAGACAACAAACTACTCACTGTTGCAATTATCACATCCATTATGCCTTTATGGCCTTAAATATTTGCATACAGTGCTCCCACATGATTATTTTTCTATGCCTGCTGTAAACATTCATAATATTGGAGCTGTGTCCATGTGTCTGCCTGCTTTAATGTCTTCAATAGGCCTCTTGACTCTTAGACTTCCTTGAATGTGCCAAACATATCACTAAAAGTGCATATGTTACATGAATTGACTTTTTTAACCTTTAAGTGCTCTCGTTTGAGAAAAATGGTCTGTCTGGAGTGTGTCACTGATTTGAGATCAAATGGAACAGTCAGTACAACCTCCTTGCACCTCAAGATCTATAAACATGCAAGTCAAACATGTACAATTATGAAACGGCCAGTAATTTAATCATAAGCTCTTTTCATATCCAAAATAAAATTTCATCCTGATTCAACGATAAATCTTCCAGTACTTATATTCATCAGCAGGGTCCCATCTAACAAGAGTACAGCTCATCACTGAACCATCGCAAACGTTAGGCAAAACTCAGTCGATTACAAGATGTTGCTTTCAAACCATAGGCTCACCTCAGACATGCTGAAAACGAGGGGAATGGTCCCGGCAACAAAGCATCCGAGGAGCATTGCCAGGCACAGAAGTGCCAAAAGCCACACATCGTCCATGACTGTGCGTCCTAGCTCTGCTCCTGAGGATGTGGAGTTCAAGAAGGTAGAATTCACCGGCTCCACCGCAACACCCTCTCGGAAATCACTGCAAAATCAAACCGACTCGACGGTTCTACACACTGCAAAGAGCCGATTACTCTACGTTTCGCTCGACCAGCATTGCGTCAACGTGGCCAGAAATCAGTGCGCCGCCATTTAGGTCCATCGAGTTCCCAAATCCGTCGCTAGATGGAGGAAGTTGTCCAGTCTCGGCTGGGCAGCCTTGGATGAAGACCCAGCACGAACATGGAACTCAAGCAGCTGCTCGTATGTCAAAAGGTATTCATGAGGTGGACTAAGGGTTCCTTCATAGGCCTATATTATGGGTGTAAGACCATTAATATATGGAAGGTGGACGAAGAAAGACGATTCATCATCGCGTCCCTCTCATACTGATTCAGCTCGCACAGTGCAACTATTCAATAGGATATTATAAAAAGGCACTAGTTGTCACATGGCAATACACCTCTGCTATTTCATTTATTTATCACCCTATGTAATACAGCGCACAAGTTAAGAGATTGCCTCAAATCAAATTTATCTATTTTATTTTATTTGATTACAATTCAGTTCAACATTTCCAAGGATTCTAGCTCTACATTCATATCTTCCATCCAATAGGGTTAACCCGGAGACTCGGGTCTCTTATTATTGACTGTACATATACGTGCATGTATGTGTGTCGTAATATGACGACACTCACCCTGCGCAAAGTCCACTGAGAAAGAGTCTCACGCCCTCCGAAATCCTTCAGACTTTGACGATATTCAGGTACTCCCTTCGCATGAATGATGATTACGAAACTTCTGCACTAAAAAATTTGTAGTCACGTGGAGGGAACACCCCATGAAATGACGTCAGCGTTTAAAAGCTTTGGAATGGCTCTAGTTATGACTCCTGGTTATAGTCCGAGTAAGAAAGTATGCAGTGAATCCTAAGAGCCCCAGACAGACGGACGGTTTTCGATTCCACAGAATGGCTTCGCATGTTTATCCCCTCAAATGGATGCTCGGTCAGGGACAAAGAAGCGTAGTGGACGCTATGGAAAAAAAAAAAACGATTCCCTTCCTAGCCTACAGCGAGAGATTGAAAAACTAGATCTTCTGGAATCACCGCGCTACACTGTCGGTATCATGCATGTCATGCGAGTACATATGCATGGAGTGTGATTCGTCTTCATTGAGGCTCAGAAAAGGTGAACTCTGTCGTTAATCAGCTGCAGTCGTCCTGCACAGCCCAAAAATTGGAACCGTAAATGTGGCCAACATTGCATCTTCTGAATGAAACGAAATTATTTGTACTGTTAAACAGTAAATATGAATTTCAGTTTACCTACTTGACACCTGAGAGATTCGAACGACCTGAACACGCTCGGCTAACAAGGAGATTGGTCAAACAAGTCTGAGTGGAGTTTAGCATAAATCGCAATGCTCCGCATGGTTCCAGACTCCCTACGAGAGAGAGAGAGAGAGAGAGAAGAGTTTCCTCGTCTGTCCAGAGATGGCAGGAGAGACGGGTATAATGGGTAATGGGGTACCTTTCATGCATACGGACGAATGCCTTTACTTTATAGGATTGCCCAAATATACCAATTGTGCTCCTCCCTCCCCTTGTGGAGACCTTTCACGAGCCATCTTGGCTGGTTGCCCACCCTTTTTGAGGCTTGTAGGCCCAAGTCGCACGTCCGACAGTTGCATCTTTTCATCTCTTTTGGTCTCGTCACTTCTTGGGAGGCCTGAAAGACTTCGTGATTCCTGGCGCGAGTGAACGGATGAACGATCGTCGTTTGCAATCCCCACTTCTTCCCGTATCTCTACCCTCAACAATTGGAGGTTTATAGACGGGTATAAAGGGTTTTCAGCGAGTCAGGAACGTCTGAAAGTGCGAAGGCAATGGAAAAATACCTATTTTTGCTATTCTAAGGAAGAACTTCGCAGTTTCGGGCGAAATGAACTTAGTGGTGGGTGGTGGAGGTATGAAGAGAATGGTTAGGCGTTCCACATTCTTTCTTTAACCCTCACGGCGGCAGCTGCAAATGCTCTATGAACGAACAGGAGCAAATCGAATCAAGTTCTCAGTCGTGAAATAATGAAGTAGTGGGATCATTGCTGCAAAGAAAAACTCGAATACATGCCAAATGGGCTCTTTCGAGGCAACTCTAACTTCAGGTTTACTTTTACATTAACATCACCTCGTCAAAAGCATAATTCCATGTAACCGTAAAAGTCTCGGAAAACTGGATGAAATTCAAGACCAAGTCAGTCACATGACCTGTATTAGCCGATCGCAGGAGACTATCCGGTTGTTGCAAGGGACAGTGATGGCCGAATCCGAATCGAGATTCGATTAAAATCGCGATTCAGTGTAGTTTAAGGAGCCATTCAATTCTTGATATCTGGATTGGGAAACCGGATTCAATAAGAGTAAATCAAGCGATTTGGATTCGATTCATGGTTTGCTGTCTATAGGGAGGATTCTGAATCTTTCGAATCTTTTTTCTAACTATTTTCAACATCGAAATATTTCGATTCCATCGCGAGTTCCAGTTTTGAATTAAAGATTTGACGGCTCTGGGTCAAATGTACTCATCAGATTTGTTGCAACATGGAGTCGGGTTTGTTTTCTTGCGTATCTAGCACTCTTTTAAACGCTTTTTTACAGCGTTTTTTATGCGGTGATATGATTCGCTCCAGGTAATTCATGAAAATATTCGCTTCGAATCTCAAAAATGGCGATCCGAACATCACTGACCATTCACAATCGAACATATCATCGGTTCCTCGCAGACCTGGAACTGCCGGTTTCACGGCTGCACGAGACGAAGACAAGTTGAACAAGTTGGAAGACGCGCTGTCCCTCTTTTCACTTCCTTCCTTTTACTGTCATTTCTATCGCATTCCTCCAAGGAGACGAGGACGGTGGGTGTTTCGGGTGAGGAGGTGGAAGTGTGAGGCGAGAGTCGAGTGAAACGATGCGAAAAACGTTCTGGAACCTTTTTCGTCGCTGCTGCTCATTCTCCATCCGGTTTTTCTGGTAAGTAGTGGAAAGCGGAGTGGATCGAGTCATTAGCGTGTCACTCGTGAAAGTTTCGACATTCATTCTGTAGCCTCCCAACAATGGCATTCGAGTGGATGAACTTGGTTTCGGGTCATTTTCAGTGTGTAAGCCTAATCGAGACAAAAGCTCTCAGGGTGGATTCCTGTGTTGGTTAAAGAGTTAGTAGAAAAGAAATTACCTTTAGCTGAAAGGTGGTTGAATTGATTAGCAAATAATACAATAATACAAAATGGCTTCTTAATGGAAGTTCCTGTTACAGAATCCCAATTACCTAAAAGGGGTAGTTAAAAATCCCACAACTACAAGTGCGACAGAAGCCCCCAGAGTGCTTTCGGATTGACTTTTATCCACCTACTGTTGTGCCCATCGAATTCTTTCTTTGTACAATGTAATCTGCTCGAGATACCTAGGATTGCTATCGTGATTAACGACGAAGATGATGCGTGAAGCGGATGGAGCATTATCCCAAACCGAGCGAGGTAAATTCACTCCCTAGTTTACTTCACAACTCGACGGTATAACGCATAGAAAAGTAATGAGCACATGCATACGGGGTAAAAATCGATCCGAATGCACGGTAACTCTTTCCAGTGAAAAATGTGCATGGCGTGACTCGGTATAATTTCCTGCCGGCCCCGTGTAACATGGTACGTCCCGGTACATGGTCCGTAATTAGTGCTCGTGAATCCGCGGGTCGATCGCAGCCAAGAGCGCCGTAAAAGGAGATGGGACCGGTTGCGAAATCCGTCCTCGCGAACGGGCGGTCTGTTCGTCGGGGATGAGCAGTCCATGCTCACGCCCGAAGATAAAGCGGGACTCACGTGAGATTGAAGCTCGTCCCATTCGTCGTCGCCATGATGAGGCGAGGCGGCGATGGAGCATGGCACACAAGGCGAGGGCGTGCGAAAACGGCTTTCCACCTCCGCTGCTTCGAATCCTCCACTCTGCACCCCTGCCGTTTTCTCGTTCGAGTGCGATACGGCACGGTTATCGGATGAGAGTGGGCATGCACGGAACTCATGCGTCATGCCCTTCAACGTTTCCAAGGGCAAATTTCCCGTTCGTCGTCCGGTCCGTGTCGATCGGCGAATTTCGTTCTGCCCGGCGTTTTGCGATGCGTGCCGCTCTCCTCGATCGGTTTCTTTTCCGCATTTCTGGAGATGGCTCGAAGATGAGGCATTCTCGAAGGGAACGGGTAGAAGCCGTGTCGCACCGGGATGAGGCAACCCGTTGCTTTCGTGTTGAAGCCGTGACTCTCTGAAAATTTTACTTCTTTCGAGGGACGGTGAGGCCGCAGGAACAGCCATCAACACGGTCGAAATCAAAATCCCCTGCAACTAAAGCATTTTCGCATGAGAGAAGGTGTAACGAAGCGAAATGTGCACGTACGCCGACGGCAAGGCAAGAGATTGAAATGACTTCACGGTCTTCGCGCCTTCATCACTCACAATAAACTCCTCGTAACTGGTAAGAGTATAACCCATCACTTCCCAACCTTATCCATATCGCATCGCATAGGTTCTTTACTGTTTCTACCTGGTTGGAGAACGTGTTGGAAGAATGCGCGATCGGAAGCAAAAATCCATACATTCCTTGACCGATTGACGTCACGGCGAAAGCTCGGTCTCCATCGTTACAGTGAGTCATGAAAATCATTGTGCGATGTAATGTGTCAGCTGAAAACAACGATCGGCTCGAAATATTTTGGATATTCGCCGATAAACTCTGTCGATTCATGAAGCTCGTTCTTTTTCGTCATCCTGCATCGAACCGACTCGAAAATATTCTGATTTCTAAGCCCCGACAGATGGTGACTCCTTCGGCATCTACTATGCGTGCATATCGCCCATCAGTCGCGTGAAGGCAATGCAGGTCATTAGTTTATGAATCCGGTCTGACGATCTGCTGCGTATTATCACAATGAAGGTGATAAAATCGTCTCCTGATAGCAAGGAGCAACCTTGGCGCTACCAACCCTTTCCTGCCTTGTTTCATCCGTCTGCTCGCTGAAGTGTTTTGAATGGAGGTCATCGTCTGCTTCGTTCGGATTCGCAGCGCTCCGTGCGAGATGAAAGGATCTTCTCGCACTCAGGATGGCAGGAAGAGTCGGGTGCTTCCAAAGATGCCTTGCGATAGGAGGTGTGTTCACACCGGAATGGAAATTGTCAGACACGAGCAACGTGGAGAAATGAATTCGCTGGATTTTGCTTTGGTCCTTCCCCCCGGACGTCAACCTCTCGGGATTTCCGCAACGAAGATCCAAAATTATAAGGAAGCGACTCGAGGCGGGGATCGAGACGGACGAACATCGTGACTCCGAGTCTCTCTCTGACAAACGTGCCAAAGTGGAATGCCTCTCCATCACCCCACGAGAGACTTCTAGCGCTGTTCGAGTGAAAGGGACACGGACAGGGAATCTTGTTAAAATCTCCTTTCCACTCGACCTGACAAAACGTGTCACGTTAAGGTGCTTTTAAAGAGAATAGTTTATGTTCGGTCGTTTTTATGAAGCCGATTATAAAAAAAAATAATGATAGTTCTGAATAGCATAGAACAAGATGGTAAGGAACTCCGCGATAGAAGTGACCTCTGTCTAAAAGGCGGGTTATCCCCCCGGAGAAAAAGATTCCCTCTAAAAAGAGACGAAAAATACATAATTCCCATAAATGCGGTGTCATGATGGATGAGCCCGGGTGTTCCAGGCCTTCGTTTCCGGCACCACATAGACCAGGCCTTTTTTTCCCTCTCTCTTTCTCTTTTGTGGCGTTTTCTGCGCTCTTCCATTTGTCACGGGGAGGTTTCGGAAGGAAGGGAAGGGGAAAAACGCAAGCCCACGAGGGAGCCAATGAGGAGGCGATCGCACGAAATGATCTTTTTCCTCTTCTTTCATCTCTTTACTCCCTTTCCCCTTCCCTTTCCGGACTCATCGGAGGGAAAGACAGTGAAAGATTAAAGGCCCGAAATGGCGTCCACGACGGGACCAAAGAGGGATGCCAAACAAATAATGATGATGATGATAACAGCAGGAAAAATGCACCAATTGCGTGTCTACTTTTGGTCACAATTGCATGGCTACTTTTGGTCACAACTGCATGACACGGTATAGTAATTTCTACGGTTAAATGAGAGAAATGCATAAAAGTGTGTAAGTGAAGATAACTTCGAAGACCATGACTAAATACGGAAATTAAAGTACTTAACACTTTCGGATCCCACCTCACTTCCAGTTGACGCACTGGAAGATGTTGCGTCTGGAACTTCCAGGAGGTGAAGTTTCTGAAAATTTCCTTCCACTTTCTTACAGTTCATCATTATCCTTGCTCAATTACGTCAAGGATTGTTTGGATCCTCTTTTGTACAGGTTGCAGGTTGTCACTAAACTATGGTAATTATTGAAAGGTAACCCACAACCTCATTAATAGCAAGTAAAACACCATTAAATGTCAGTCACATTAACATTATAGCATCATTAATTATAACATAACTATTAATTCCCAGTCGGTAACGAATTGCTGCTGAGTATAATGTAGCGATATTATTGTGCGTTATCATTGTCAATGTGTTATGCAACGAGAGCGTCTGCTCCAACGACCATGGCGTCTTTTTTCCTCCCAACGATGTTGCTTCGACTACGGCACTTTCTTTCGGTTCACCAGAGTCAGTTCCTTGATAATGGACTGAACCTAGGCGACATTAAGCCAGAGCTGGGCAGTTCCAAAGTTACTGACGTGACACCAGGTTCAAAATGCAAACAATTATGGTGGTTTGGTCCAGAAATTCTGCTTCAACGGTACCTTAATAAATAGGCTTTCGTAACATTAATACTTGCACCAGCCAAAAATGTCTCATTTCTTCCATGGATGAAGGAAAGTAAGGCCAATCATTTCGTGTTACTAACGTTACATAGTTCAGACAACAGTTTTCGTTCTGCTGCTTTCCTTACAATCCAGTCTGACTTAGCTTAACCTGAAGCTCCCGTATTTTCAAGAAAGAAGGTATAGACCCTCACCTTTCTTCATGCCGAATGACATTTGTTGTTGATCAAAAATGAAGTGGCTTGGACAGTTTTCCAGCGTTACTGAAGTAACAAAATAGTTCAAAAGCGTTCAAAGCGTTGTCACCAAGGTTCACGAAGCAAGTGTTGAATTTATCAAAATGGAATGTTGCAGGAGAAATGAGAAACATCTCATGTCAGGTGATGCATGTTTAGCGTGTTCCTTATTTAGCTTAAGTTTAGTATCCATACATTGCAGAATTAGTTGGAAGGAATTTTCGGAAACATTTGTATACCACTTTTGTCCCAATTACACTGGAACTACCCAGCTATTCCCAATTGTTTTCAGCTACTATACTAGGTCTTGGGTGAACTTTTAGGATACGATGAAGCTGTGAAATTCTCCAATGATTGCCAAGAAGCTCCTACCCAGAACAGTGGCTTGGCTTAATCAGGTTGCTACTGAGATGCGAGAGACAGTTGAAGCAGCACGTCCATGCAATGCCTAAGATCGTTCGCGTGCCTTTTCTTACCCCCTTTCTAAATCCCCATCGTCTCTCAGGCAAGGCAGTCCTCATTTGTCCCTCGTATTTCCGCCTCGAGACGGTATTCTTGGGAGTACGAGGAACGGCAATGCTGCGAATTCTGCAAGGACTGATCATCGCATTGCCGCATATACGCGGATTAAAAACAGCTAGAAACAAGGTTCAAACATCGTTGGAACGTAAGGGTAAGACCAACTGCGACAGTTTCGAATTTTGAAATGTGATACCGTGTTTTGAATCCGTCTCGATGCGAACGTCGCCCGTACTCAAATGCAAGAAAGTGACAGCCAATGATTTTTTTCCCTGTGAGAGTCCCTTCTATGACTTTGCAAAATGAGCAATCATGAAATGTAGAACAAGTAATAATTATAAGTCTATTAAAAGGAGAATTTCGTCATGCAAAGGCTAGACGTATGGCTAAAATTTGAAACTTAAAAAAAATCCGAATTCGAACTTTAGACCATCCGGTTTCGTTGTGTTCAAGGTTTTCGCATTAATTTTCGTTAAATATTAAGCAGCCAGAGTATCATCATGACTTTGATCAGTCTCCAAGTGGCTTTGGTATTAGAATAAATTGCGATAGATTTACATTGCTTCGGCATTTACTTTTGTAGACATAAAATATAGGATACAAATTCATGAATATTTCGTACATTCAAGACTAATCTCCTTTTCTTTGTCGGTATGAGCACTGCTTCATGTTTTTTGTGAACTACCCCATTAACCCTGTAACTACCAGTACCCGGATGGTCGTATGTTCAACTCTTTGCATCATCTCTTCATTCACTATCAATCTCTTTTGAAGAGATTCTTTGGCTTTGCCTTATTACTTTGTCTAATTCTTATCATATGTCTTCATGAAAATACACTGATTATCAAACTTTTCGAGTTCACGGTGCAGCCTACATAAATGGCTACATTTTTTATATCAGGGTCCATTGGACTCAGAACGGTAATTACAGGGTTTATAAGTTACGCGATATCGCTGACAAGATTTGCGAAGCTGAGTCAGGCAAGGCTATGCTTCGTAGAAACTTGTGCCTGAGTGCCGAAACCTCCTTTAGTTAACGGTCCTTTAAGAATACACAGACTGTTATGGGAGAAAAAGAGCTCTTCAGCTTAAAGGTCCCTTATCTCTCCCCTAAATGAGGTTTGTGGATTCGGGCCTTAGAGTTGCACGTTGAAAAGTGAAGAGGTGGGGTCGTCACACATGTGACAGGAGATTCGCGAGAGGCTAATCTGAAGAGAGGCTTCGAGGGTCACTGAAGCTCGTGAATATGCATCGCGAGTGACGAGTGTGACTTCAAATTAAATCCGTTCCTGTCTGCAGTCGTCATGACTTTATGAAATATTGAGATGGAGTGGAAGAATCTTCGCGCGGCTCGGGCATACCGAGGCACAAAAGAGAGGAATAGTACAACGTACTTTTGTCTACTCTACAAGTGAACCCACTCGAGATCTCCTCGTATCACCGCGTTCAAG